ACTTGGTTTGTTATCATGTAACAGTTTCATCATGTCCACCATATGTCAGTTTGTAAATTTGAATTAATTATCTCCTCAAATTTTTCTTTGTTTTAAGTAGGTAACTTTAGAATGTTCGGTCTGTCTTGAAAGCTTAACCCTCATTCATTCTAGATATCTGTTTCCTACTCTCCTTTGTACCTTTTAGATTCTAGTGAAGTCTATCTCTTGTGTTGATTCCATATTCCAGGAATGGTCTAACGAGTGCACGGTACAGAAACATGTTGTATGTGTTCATGGAACTTTTTATGTTTGTAAAGAGTCCGTCATTTTGTTTTGTTTTGTACATATCTATATGACATCGATCTCCTTTATACAAGTGCAGTTGAGTGTTATTACTCTTATTACCTAATGACCGTACCATGGTTTGATTCAAGTAGGATTTCAGCATTACTGAATATGATCATTTTTGAGCTGGTTAATGTGTCCAAACAGGGTCTTTTTGTTGGGATTATATCTGTTATGTATTGTCGGCGATCTCTGTTCATACTTTTGTATCTCGGAGATATTTATTTCTACTTTTGTATCTCGGAGATATTTATTTCTACTTTTGTATCTCGGTGATATTCATTTCTACTTTTGTATCTCGGAGATATTTATTTCTATTCTTGTATCTCGGTGATATTTATTTCTACTTTTGTATCTCGGTGATATTCATTTCTACTTTTGTATCTCGGTGATATTCATTTCTACTTTTCTATCTCGGTGATATTCATTTCTACTTTTGTATCCTCTGTAATATGTGTTGGTACTTTTTTGTATCGTCGTTGATATTATTCTGATATTGTTTACCATTGTTAGCGATATACTGATACTGTTTACCATTGTTACCGATATACTGATACTGTTTACCATTGTTACCGATATACTGATACTGTTTACCATTGTTACCGATATACTGATACTGTTTACCATTGTTACCGATATACTGATACTGTTTACCATTGTTACCGATATACTGATACTGTTTACCATTGTTACCGATATACTGATACTGTTTACCATTGTTACCGATATACTGATACTGTTTACCATTGTTACCGATATACTGATACTGTTTACCATTGTTACCGATATACTGATACTGTTTACCATTGTTACCGATATACTGATACTGTTTACCATTGTTACCGATATACTGATACTGTTTACCATTGTTACCGATATACTGATACTGTTTACCATTGTTACCGATATACTGATACTGTTTACCATTGTTACCGATATACTGATACTGTTTACCATTGTTACCGATATACTGATACTGTTTACCATTGTTACCGATATACTGATACTGTTTACCATTGTTACCGATATACTGATACTGTTTACCATTGTTACCGATATACTGATACTGTTTACCATTGTTACCGATATACTGATACTGTTTACCATTGTTACCGATATACTGATACTGTTTACCATTGTTACCGATATACTGATACTGTTTACCATTGTTACCGATATACTGATACTGTTTACCATTGTTACCGATATACTGATACTGTTTACCATTGTTACCGATATACTGATACTGTTTACCATTGTTACCGATATACTGATACTGTTTACCATTGTTACCGATATACTGATACTGTTTACCATTGTTACCGATATACTGATACTGTTTACCATTGTTACCGATATACTGATACTGTTTACCATTGTTACCGATATACTGATACTGTTTACCATTGTTACCGATATACTGATACTGTTTACCATTGTTACCGATATACTGATACTGTTTACCATTGTTACCGATATACTGATACTGTTTACCATTGTTACCGATATACTGATACTGTTTACCATTGTTACCGATATACTGATACTGTTTACCATTGTTACCGATATACTGATACTGTTTACCATTGTTACCGTTATACTGATACTGTTTACCATTGTTAGCGATATACTGATGTCGGAATATGTTGCATTCTCAAGAAAAACAAAAGTATAAAGGATTTCAGATTTTAATGGATGAATATGCAATTATACAAGTTCATAAACAAGCTTTTAATCAGCTATAATTTATGACAAAAATCAATCATGCAATGAAGTAATGGCAAAAGTAGCTTACCTACGACTTAATCACGTCTGTGTTTGACTAAAATCTCATTTAAGACAGCCTGGCAGCTGTATCTGACAAAGTCTTTTATATTACATCATGACGTCTATGTCTGAAACATGACATGTTACCTAGGCCACATCATACATATATATCTGTTCAAGACAAACTGTTACGTTATCTTTGAGGATGACTTTTGTGTGTGTATTTATGACAACATGACTTTTGTGTCTGACAATGTTAGATATTACAGTGTGTTTATGGCAACATGACTTGTGTTTATAACAATGTTAGATATTACAGTGTGTTTATGACAACATGACTTTTGTGTCTGACAATGATGGATATTACAATCTATTTATGACAACATGACTTTTGTGTCTAACAATGTTAGACATTACAGTGTATTTATGACAACATGACTTTTGTATCTAACAATGTTAGATATTACAGTGTATTTATGACAGCATGACTTTTGTGTCTGACAATGTTAGATATTACAGTGTGTTTATGGCAACATGACTTGTGTTTATAACAATGTTAGATATTAAAGTGTATTTATGACAACATGACTTTTGTGTCTGACAATGTTAGGTATTACAGTGTATTTATGACAACATGACTTGTGTTTATAACAATGTTAGATATTAAAGTGTATTTATGACAACATGACTTTTATGTCTGACAACATGACTTTTGTGTCTGACAAAATTACTTTTGTGTCTGACAATGTTATATTTTACAGTGTATTTATGACAACATGACTTTTGTGTCTAACAATGTTAGATATTACAGTGTATTTATGACAACATGACTTTTGTGTCCGACAATGTAAGATATTAAAGTGTATTTATGACAACATGACTTTTGTGTCTGACAATGTTAGACATAACAGTGTATTTATGACAACATGACTTTTGTATCTGACAATGTTAAATATTACAGTGTAATTATGACAGCAAGACTTTTGTGTCTGACAATGTTAGATATTACAGTGTATTGATGACAGCATGACTTTTGTGTCTTACAATGTTAGATATTACAGTGTATTTATGTGACAACATGACTTTTGTGTCTGAAAATGTTAGATATTACAGTGTATTGATGACAGCATGACTTTTGTGTCTGACAATGTTAGATATTACAATGTATTTATGACAACATGACTTTTGTGTCTGACAATGTTAGACATAACAGTGTATTTATGACAACATGACTTTTGTATCTGACAATGTTAGATATTACAGTGTATTTATGACAGCAAGACTTGTGTGTGTGACAATGTTAGATATTACAGTGTATTTATGTCAGCAAGACTTTTGTGTCTGACAATGTTAGACAATACAGTGTATTTATGACAGCAAGACTTTTGTGTCTGACAATGTTATATAATACAGTGTATTTATGACAGCATGACTTGTGTTTATAACAATGTTAAATATTACAGTGTATTTATGACACCATGACTTTTGTGTCTGACAATGCTAGACATTACAGTCTGACAATGTTAGATAATACAGTGTATTTATGACAGCAAGCCTTTTGTGTCTGACAATGTTAGACAATACAGTGTATTTATGACAGCATGACTTTTGTGTCTGACAATGGTAGATATTACAGTGTATTTATGACAACATGACTTGTGTTTATAACAGTGTTAGATATTACAGTGTATTCATGGCAACATGACTTTTGTGTCTGACAATGTTAGATAATACAGTGTATTTATGACAGCATGACTTGTGTTTATAACAATGTTAGATATTACAGTGTATTTATGACAACATGGCTTTTGTGTCTGACAATGTTAGATATTACAGTGTATTAATGACAGCATGACTTTTGTGTCCGACAATGTTAGATATTACAGTGCATTTATAACAACATGACTTGTGTTTATAACAATGTTAGATATTACAATGTATTTATGACAACATGACTTTTGTGTCGGACAATGTTAGATATTACAGTGTATTTATGACAACATGACTTTTGTGTCTAACAATGTTAGATATTACTGTGTATTTATGACAACATGACTTTTGTGTCCGACAATGTAAGATATTACATTGTATTTATAACAACATGACTTGTGTTTATAACAGTGTTAGATATTACAGTGTATTTATGGCAACATGACTTTTGTGTCTGTCAATGTTAGATATTACAGTGTATTTATGACAACATGACTTTTGTGTCCGACAATGTTAGATATTACAGTGCATTTATAACAACATGACTTGTGTTTATAACAATGTTAGATATTACAGTGTATTTATGACAACACGGCTTTTGTGTCTGACAATGTTAGATAGTACAGTGTATTTATGACAACATGACTTTTGTGTCTGACAATGTTAGATATTACAGTGTATTTATGGCAACATGACTTTTGTGTCTGACAATGTTAGATATTACAGTTTATTTATGACAACATGACTTTTTTGTCTGACAATGTGAGATATTACAGTGTATTTATGACAACATGACTTTTGTGTCTGACAATGTTAGATATTACAGTGTATTAATGACAGCATGACTTTTGTGTCCGACAATGTTAGATATTACAGTGTATTTGTGGCAACATGACTTTTGTGTCTGTCAATGTTAGATATTACAGTGTATTTATGACAACATGACTTTTGTGTCCGACAATGTTAGATATTACAGTGTATTTATAACAACATGACTTGTGTTTATAACAATGTTATATATTACAGTGTATTTATGACAACATGACTTTTGTGTCTGACAATGTTCGATATTACAGTGTATTTATGACAACAGGACTTTTGTGTCTGACAATGTTAGACATAACCGTGTATTTATGACAACAGGACTTTTGTGTCTGACAATGTTCGATATTACAGTGTATTTGTGGCACCATGACTTTTGTGTCTGACAATGTTAGATATTACAGTGTATTTATGACAGCATGACTTTTGTGTCCGACAATGTTAGATATTACAGTGTATTTGTGGCAACATGACTTTTGTGTCTGATTATGTTAGATATTATAGTGTATTTATGACAACATGACTTGTGATTATAACAATGTTAGATATTACAGTGTATTTATGACAACATGACTTTTGTGTCTGTCAATGTTAGATATTACAGTTTATTTATGACAACATGACTTTTGAGTCTGACAATGCTAGACATTACAGTGTAGTTATGACAGCATGACTTTTGAGTCTGACAATGCTAGACATTACAGGGTATTTATGACAGCATGACTTTTGTGTCTGACAATGTTATATATTACATTGTATTTATGACAACATGGCTTTTGTGTCTGACAATGCTAGACATTACAGGGTATTTATGACAGCATGACTTTTGTGTCTGACAATGTTAGATATTACAGTGTATTTATGACAACATGACATTTTTGTCTGACAATGTTAGACATTACAGTGTATTTATGTGACAACATGACTTCTGTGTAATACTATGTTAGCTACGCCACAAACTTAATACGTAAGTCTAACTCTTTCCGTTAGCTATTAGTCTGGGAAAACAGTTAAAGTATTGTTCCATAACTAACAAAAAGGTTTATAAGTCTCACAATGCATGAAATGAGTGTCGCATAAATGACACTATATTAGACTACTTTATACGGTAAACCAGCAGCATAGTTCATAGTTATAATGATACCAAGATACACATATTGTTAATGTATTATAGTAAAAAGAAATAGAAAAGATTAGTTAGAGCAAAGTTTGGACTGTGTCAAATCCATTCAATGGTAGGTAATACGTACAGTACTAGAATAACTAAACGGCTTTAACATATACAATGACGACCACTGTGATGATGATGATGATGATGATGATGATGATGTTGATGATGATGATGATTCGCTACTGAGGACTGCTAAAAGGGGAACACGGTAAAAGGAAGAGAGATTGAACTCTAAACCTGTGTATAACAATATTCATACGAATTCTAATGATTTGATAACAGAGAAGATATTTCCTGGCAAACACATTAGAGACCGACTATCTGAAGTACCATGAGAGATTATCTAACATTATAAGGAGAAATTATCTGATGATTCGAGGAATAGGCCTACAGTTGGAGGGAGATCTTGGTGGAGTTCCTCTGGCCGGTTGAACGTATAACTTTGTGCTATCCATCGGATCACTACGACGGTCGTGTACTGCTGAGTTTTTGTATCTAGGTAGACTATCTGACTGGGTAGCCTTGTACACATTTGGGGCACTGCAACTCGGCTTCATATAAAGCTGGCTGTCAATACGTCCTCCGAATCCGCTTATATTATTCGGTACGTTAAGACGAATAGCGGAATTGCTTTTCTTCATTTCCTCTTTTTTCCGTCGTCTTGTTTCCCCCTGTACGACAATTACCCGATACATCAGTAATACTATGACCAGTGAGTTTTTGGACGTGAAAAACATGTTAGTATAGCTAATCACGCCATATTTAAATATCAACAACAGTCGTATAACCAAGAACGGGCAGTCTTGCATCAGAATTGACGTCACAATGCCATATATCTCTGGATTACAGCACCCCACTTGATCTTCTTCCGAGTGACTGGCTGATGGCACCCCGGAATGGTCACGGCGCGCGCGTGTTGCGGTCAGTACCAATGTAAACTGAAGCAGACTTAATGTCCATATCCCCAGTATGATGTAACACAGCAAACGATTGTACATGACCTGTAATGAAAACAGCTTGTGTTAGTTTCTGTTATTGTGTACTCACCAACAGCATCCACATATTCCACACGGCTAGTTAATCTTAAGGTACTCTTTAGTACAGACAATGTATCCTACAAAAGATCACCTCAACAAGTTATACAGTACAACCTGTCTAAACCGGATGTCACAAGGACCAAACTATTTGGCCGGTTTCCACGGGTGTCCGTTTTATACAGGGTCGGCATGTCATTTTTTGAAAATACAAAAATGTAGTGTGTTGCATACGATCAGTAGACAAGTGTGTCTACATAAACAACAGAGAAAAGAATCAATTACAACGTTTAATTCTTTACAAAATATACAGTATATAATACAAATGAAGACCGACCCGACATTGGGTAGCGTTTTTTTGTTTAGGATGTGTTTTTCTTTAGATTCAAGCCGGCCGAGAAAAATTTAAGGACCGGAATAAACAGGATGTTTCTACATGGATTACTATGCAAACTTTTGTAAAACAACGCAAAGTTTCGGAATGACAGGGTCCGGTTTATGCAGGGTTTAAGTTCTATGATTATATAGGGAATATGCCGGGACCACAAACCAAAACCGGTTTAGACAGGGACCAGTTAAGACAGGCTGTACTGTATATAGCATGTCATACATGTACATACAGGGTAGAACGTAACCTTTCAAGTAAGATGTTATTGCGTACCGTAGAAACGTCCATTGACTACAAGAGGTATCCATAACGTAAACGTTGCGCAGTAGTCTCCCCTTGGTATACTTAGATATGGTTAGTATACCTAGATAGGAGGAGGGGTCGATATGTACTACCTTGTATACTAAGATATGGTTAGTATACCTAGATAGGAGGAGGGGTCGATAGGTACTACCCGGTATACTTAGATATGGTTAATATACCAAGATAGGAGGAGGGGTCGATATGTACTACCCGAGATACTTAGATATGGTTAGTATACCTAGATAGGAGGAGGTGTCGATATGTACTACCTGGTATACTTAGATATGGTAAGTATACCTAGATAGGAGGATGGGTCGATATGTACTACCCGGTATACTTAGATATGGGTAGTATACCAAGATAGGAGGAGGGGTCGATATGTACTACCTGGTTTATTTAGATATGGTTAATAAACCAAGATAGGAGGAGGGGGGCGATATGTACTACCTGGTATACTTAGATATGGTAAGTATACCTTGATAGGAGGATGGGTCGATATGTACTACCCGGTATACTTAGATATGGGTAGTATACCAAGATAGGAGGAGGGGTCGATATGCACTACCCGGTATACTTTGATATGGTTAGTATACCAAGATAGGAGGAGGGGGCGATATGTACTACCTGGTATACTTAGATATGGTTAGCATACCTAGATTGGAGGAGGGGTCGATATGTACTACCCGGTATACTTAGATATGGTTAATATACCAAGATAGGAGGAGGGGTCGATATGTACTACCCGGTATACTTTGATATGGTTAGTATACCAAGATAGGAGGAGGGGGGGATATGTACTACCTGGTTTACTTAGATATGGTTAATAAACCAAGATAGGAGGAGGGGGTCGATATGGACTACCTGGTATACTTAGATATGGTTAATATACCAAGATAGGAGGAGGGGTCGATATGTACTACCTGGTTTATTTAGATATGGTTAATAAACCAAGATAGGAGGAGGGGGTCGATATGTACTACCTGGTATATTTAGATATGGTTAGTATACCAAGATAGGAGGAGGGGGGGATATGTACTACCTGGTTTACTTAGATATGGTTAATAAACCAAGATAGTAGGAGGGGGTCGATATGTACTACCTGGTATACTTAGATATGGTAAGTATACCTTGATAGGAGGATGGGTCGATATGTACTACCCGGTATACTTAGATATGGTTAGTATACCTAGAGTGGAGGAGGGGTCGATATGTACTACCTGGTATACTTAGATATGGTAAGTATACCTTGATAGGAGGATGGGTCGATATGTACTACCCGGTATACTTAGATATGGGTAGTATACCAAGATAGGAGGAGGGGTCGATATGTACTACCCGGTATACTTTGATATGGTTAGTATACCAAGATAGGAGGAGGGGTGGATATGTACTACCTGGTTTACTTAGATATGGTTAATAAACCAAGATAGGAGGAGGGGGTCGATATGTACTACCTGGTATACTTAGATATGGTTAATATACCAAGATAGGAGGAGGGGGTCGATATGTACTACCTGGTATATTTAGATATGGTTAGTATACCAAGATAGGAGGAGGGGTCGATATGTACTACCTGGTTTATTTAGATATGGTTAGTATACCAAGATTGGAGGAGGGGTCGATATGTACTACCTGGTATACTTAGATATGGTTAGTATACCTAGATAGGAGGAGGGGTCGATATGTACTACCTGGTATA